GAGATGGTCCACACAGTCCCCAGTGCTACTCCTGTACTGAAGTGGTACCTGACAAAGGGAGATTGATTATCGAGGTAGGCTTAATCCAATCACTAGGCCCTTTAAAGGGAGCGTTTTCTCTTGCTGGAAGCAGAAAAAGAAGTGAAAAAGATTTGAATTGTAAGAACTCAACTTGTGGTTTGAACACAAGGTGAGAAGGAATGAGGGGTGGGGCCTTTAGGAGCCAAAAGAGGTCACTGGCCGATAGCCAGCAAAGAAACAGGGACATCAGTCCTACAGCTGCAAGGAACCATATTTGGCCAATGATTTGAAGTAAACTGTACCCAGCACATCCAGAAAAGAGCACAGACAGGCCAACACCTTGATTTTGGCCGTGTAAGAAGAATCCATGCACGGAGTACAGCCAAGCCCCCCCTGAATTCTGACCTATAGGACTGTGAACTAAAAATGGGTATTGTTTTAAGCCACCAAATTTGTAGTCACTTGTTATCATAGGAAATTAATATAGCCACCTACAAAATACTCCGGCTATACTTATATCTGAAAGAACTACAAACTAAGACAAAATTTAGAAACAAAAGGTAAGACTATTGTTAAGTAATAAAAAATATTGACTTAAAACTTATTTTCAATGCTCACCTTCTGAACATTTCTGTAAGAAGGTGTAAATACATAATCGATGTATTCATAAATACATAATTCGATTCAATTGCTTTGAATCGAAATCATAACATTAGAAAGTGCATAACTGGGCCTGGCACTGGCACCTGTAGCTCAGTGGGTAGGGTGCTGGCCACATACACTGACGCTGGCAGGGCAGTGCCCAACTCGTGCCTACTAAACAATGTCAATTGCAACAAAAAAAATAGCCAGGTGTTGTGGCAGGCACCTGTAGTCCCAGCTATTTGGGAGGCTAAGGCAAGAGAATCACTTAAACCAAAGACTTTGAGGTTGCTGTGAGCTGTGACACCATAGCACTCTACTGAGGGCAATATAGTGAGATTCTGTCTCCAAAAAAAAGTTAAAAAAAAAAGAAAGTTGTATCTTACAAGGGTACATGTGAAATTTACTAGGTGTAGAATATAAATGTCTTAACACAATAACTAAGAAAATGCCATGAAGGCTATGCTGACCAGTATGATGAAAGCATTTCAGATTGTGTGTAAAACCAGCACATTGTACCCCCAACTGCATTAATGTATACAGCTATGATTTAATAAAAAAAGAAAGTAAATAACTGATCAGATCAAGTTCCTACATCATCTAACTACAATGGCCCCCCACTATGAGGTAGAAGGCTCCAGGGATCTGGAGTGACAGAGGGAATAGAAAATGGATGTAACCACAAATTGGGGAAGTTTTTTATAAGGTTCTAAAATTTCAGACTAAAAATTTCCACTCATATGGTTCCAAGCAGGGAAAGGCAAACAGCTTCTGGAAAGACAGTGAGTGATGCCTCGGGTGATGAGGACTGACCGGCCGTCCAGCCCCGTCCACCACAATCACTCTCCTTTTTCCCTCTTCCTCCAGGTCCTTCCTTGTTAAAACTATTTCTTTGCCCAGATACTTTAGGCCTGATGACTGAAAAAATCAAGCCAAAAAAAAAAAAAAACCCCAAACTATTTCTTTTTGTCATTGTTGAGATAGTGGGGGGAAAAAAAGCTTGGAAGGGACCACAAAGATCTGAACTCAAACTCTGGCTTTGCAACTTACTCCCTATGAGAGCTTTTCTTTCTTTTTTTTGGAGACGGAATCTCACTCCGTCACCCTGGTTAGAGTGCAGTGACATCATCATAGCTCACTGCAACCTCAACTCCTGAGCACAAGTGATCCTCTTGCCTTAGTCTCTCAAGCACAGCTGGGACTATGGGTTTCTACCACCATACCTGGCTAACTTTTTCCCTATTTTTGGTAGAGACAGGGTTTCACTCTTGCTTAGGCTGGCCTCAAACTCCTGACCTCAATCCTCCTGCCTCTGCCTTCCAGAATGCAAGGATTACAGGTATGAACCACTGTACTTAGCCAACTAGTAAAATGGCTTTCATTTCCTCACCTATTAAACGTATGTTAAAACCTACCTTGCAAAGTTACTGTGAAGATTTCAGGGGACCTGAACAAATCCACAATAGTGATTATTATTCACTATAATAATAATTATAATAAACATTATTGTTGTCCATTCCCTTTGGCTAGTCTGCTGACATCAGTGATGATTCTCATACATTTATCCAGTATTTACTATTTTCCCCCAAGAACCTGGATCTCTCCTCAGTAACTTATCAACAGGCAAGTAGTATTAGCCTTCAATTTACAAATGAGTAGCTGAGGCAAGGGAGCCTTTTACCCTGTGAAATGGCAAAACAAAAAATTCAACATGTCTTGTGTCTTTAAACTGGGTTTTCTTCTGCTTTACTTGTGACCACTGAGATATAAACTCATGCTAATACTATGTTCTGAGGATGAAAGAATTTCTTGGCCCTGATCAATAAACTGTGGTATATGTACAACATGGAATACTATGCAGCCATTAAGAAAGATGGAGATTTTACCTCCTTCGTGTTTACATGGATGGAGCTGGAGAATATTCTCCTTAGCAAAGTATCCCAAGAATAGAAGAAAAAGTATCCAATGTACTCAGTCCTACTATGAAACTAATTTATAGCTTTCATAGGAAAGCTATAACCCAATTTTAGCCAGGAATATGGGGAGAGGGGAGAGGGGAGGAGGGGAGGGAGGGTGATTGGTGGGATCACGCCTATGGTTCATCCTATAAGGGTCCATGTGAATCTCTCTAAGTGTAGAATATAAATGTCTTAACACAATACTTAAGAAAAAGACATGAAGGCTATGTTAACCAGTTGGATGAAAATATTTCAAATTGTATACAGAAACAGTACACTGTACCCCATGATAGTATTAATGTACACTGCTATGATTTAATTTAAAAAAAAAAAAAAAGAATTCCTTATCCTGCAGTGCATTGCTTAAGCTGAAAGGGTGATTTGTATACTCACATAACCAGGGTTCCTGCTGGCCACAGTCGGGAGGGCAACAGGTAAGGCTGCCGGGGCAGGAGGGGGCACTGAAGTCTCACCAGTTGGGTCCCTGGCAACAAGCATCCTGACGGAACTCCCACAGTTCCTCAGAACGCGAGCAACCTGCTCGCTGGTCATGCCCTGTACGTTTGTGCCACCGATCTTCAAGATGTGGTCCCCTGTCTGAAGTCTTCCATCCTTCCATCAAAGAAAAAGATGAAATCATTTCAAGAAATCAATGTTCTAACTTCAATTGTTAGTAACAATTCATCACACTGCCAATTCTGGCAAAATACAGAAGTCACGTAAAATGCTGAACAAGGCCGAGTTGTGGCTCACGCCTGTAATCCCAGTGCTCTGGGAGGCCAAGATAGGTGAATTGCTTCAGCTCAGGATTTCGAGACCAGCCTGAACAAAAGCGAGATCCCATCTCTGCTAAAATAGAAAACAAAAAGCTAGTCTGGAGTACTGGTGAGCGCCTGTAATCCCAGCTACTCATGAGGCTGAGGCAAGAAGATAGCTCAAGCCCAGGAGTTTGAGGTTGCTGTGAGCTATGACAGTGCAGCACCCCAACTGCTAACCTAGTCCAGACTTTTATCTTTTTCTGGATTATTGCTAAGGCTTCCCAACTTCACCTCTACCCAGGGTGACACAGTGAGACTCCGTCTCAAAAAAAAAAAAAAGCTGAACAAAATATAATAGTTTTAATAACTGACAAAATAATAAAGGAATCCCTTATAAAACAAAACAGAAAAGACAGAAAGTCTGAAATAAGATAAGTAATTGGTATTCCAAAACAGGCCTTCGCTTGAGGGTACCAAGTCATAGCTAATGGTTTAGAGTCAGGACACAAATGCCTTGGATTCAAGGAAGGGTCAGAAAGCCTGGGCCCCAGGAAGAGGTGGAGGTCAGAACAGAGCCCTCTAGCACAAAGCTAGGAGCTCTGAAGGCCAAGAGGCTCAGCGGCAGGTCTGAGGAACTGTGTAGCTGGGAGAGAATGAAGGAAGAGGAGAGTCGTCAAGGAAGGAGTAGAGAGAGTTGGAGAGGTCAGACTGTGTAGGGCAATGATGCATTTTATTTGTGTGACTTAAAGGGAAGTCATCGAACAGGGTTCTGAACAGACAAGTGACATCATCTGACTTACTTTAACAAGATCAGTTAAGCTTCTCTGCTTAAAATGGACTATAGACCAGGAAACGAATGAAGCAGAGATATCAGTTGAGAAGCCTTACCAATCAATAACTAAGAAAATGACATGAAGGTTATGTTAACCAGTTTGATAAGAGTATTTCAAAATGTATATGAAAACAGCACACTGTACCCCATGACTGCATTAATGTACACAGTTATGCTACAAGAAATTAAAAAAAAAAAAAAAAGCAGCCTTAGCAATAATCCAGAAAAAGATAAAAAGCCTGGACTAGGTTAGCAGTTGGGGTGTTAAGAAGTGATATAGGTCTAGGTGGCGCCTGTGGCTCAGTGAGTAGGGCACTGGCCCCATATATGGAGGGTGGCGGGTTCAAACCCAGCCCTGGCCAAACTGCAACAAAAAATAGCCGGGCGTTGCGGCAGGTGCCTATACTCCTAGCTACTCGGGAGGCTGAGGCAAGAGAATCGCCTTAGCCCAAAAGCTGGAGGTTGAGGTTGCTGTGAGCTGTGACGCCATAGCACTCTACCAAGGGTGACAGAGTTACACTCTGTCTCAAAAAAAAAAAAGTGATATAGTTCTATTGAACTATCAACAGGATCTGCTGATACCTTCTATACGGGGAATGAAGGGTAGAAAATGAATCAAAACTCCAGGTTATTGGCCTGAGCAACTAGAAAGATAGAGTCATCCTGAACTGAGATACAAAAGACTTGCACAGGCAGAGACGGGCCAGAAGGAAACCAGCTCTGCTTTACAGATGCCCAGAGACGGGCCAGGTGGGAACC